CTTGTCACTGGCGTATAAAGCAAAAATAGGCGCGAGCATGATTGGAAAAAGGACAAGTGTTTAAGTGGAATTGACCAACAGGACGACGGTGGACGCCGAACTGGACAACCATTGCACGTTCGGTGATGACACCGAGCACGCTCGTTACGGGGGCCGATGGCGCACGCCCATTCGAAGGCATGATAGTTCTGCTTAGCTTACTTACTTGGCGTAGACGAAATGCGTAGGGGGGAGCTGGCTCGTGTTCAGGCGCTAAACAAACTCTAACCAGCAGCGAGTTAGAGTTGAGCAGAAGGTCAGCAGCCAAAAAAAAAACATAGACACAAGTGCTATTCTTACCGGTGCCTCGCAAGAAAAAAGCTAATTTGTCGCCGCGGCGACGCCACGGATGACTTGCAGTTGGCTAGCGGGGAGTCTCTAGCCACACACAATAGCCACAGGACCCTGGACGTCGCCGCACAAGTGGCGGGTTAAACTCTGCTGACATTAGAGTTGCAAAACTCGGGCCACGCCTGGCGATGCGGAGAAAGCTTCCTGGCACAAGACGCCCCGTACTTTCTTAGTGATGGCTGACCAAGACAAAGGGCAGCCCTCTTGCAAACCGACGCCCCACTCACCGGCTCTTTTCTGCACAGACTGATTGTACCGCTTTATTGACCGACGGGTGGCGTTTATTGGAAAAGATGACCTCTCTTTATTTTTTTCGTTTGTGACTCGTTTGGAAGAGGCAACGCCTGCGAGTGAGAAATGCACAGCTGAGGCCAAGACCGCCTGACGCACGGCACTAGGCACGCAACGTCAGCGAATCGCGGTGCTACAAGACGCTAGCGAGGCTTGGATACGAAACTGGGCTTTTTGCCAAGCTCAAGAAGCTTGATGGGCCGCGTTGAGTTTATTGTCTGGATGCGGAAATGCGTCGTGGGAGCTGGTGCAAGAGGGAGAAGGGGAGGCGGGAGAGGGAGGGGAAAGGGGGAAAGGGGGAAAAGGGAAGAGGAAGAGAAAGAGATGGGGAAAAGCATAGTCGAGGCATGGCGACTACACAAGGTGTAATCCTGGCTATGGGAAAAAAGAGAGAGGGAGGTCTTCCCGAGGATCAGCAGTACAACTGTGTGTGATTACTCACTAGCAACTTCTTACAGCTGGTGGTCCATGACTCGAAGGCCACCTAGTCCGAGGCGCGAACTTGGCCGGAGCCCGATAGCGGTTGACGAAGCCCTTGACTAACAGAGCAAAAAGCGAAGGATACGCGCACGATTGGCGTGGCCATGGACATGATGGCAAATGTTGGAGTTTGAGCCTGAGGATCCAGGGCCCAGAAGCCAGGAGCTCAAGCTTCGCTGTGTCTCAGGACTGAGCGGCTAGCCCACATGCACCACGCCAAACCCTTCGGCTTTGATCAAAGACTATAGACAACCCTGGGGATAGCATACCCAATGACGTCAACACGGCCGTCAACCAGGTGTACACACATGACTGCCTTACGTCGCACGGCTTGGCACAAACAAATAACTCAAATATGAAGTCGTCGTCAGCAGTGCGTACAACTTTGTGCAGGTCACAAGCAGCGTGCTGCCTGGCCAGGACGCTGTTTGAAAGGCGACGGGGAGCAGAGCTGTATCAGGCCGAGAATTGGCACGGCAAGGCAAGCCATGTACGAAGCCCAACACGCCACACACACATGTCCGAGGGGTCAGAGACCAGCGGCAGTATTCTCTCCGAGTATACCTACGCGAGCGCAAACAAGCCCCAATTGGGTCCAGCCGGGGGGTCAGACTGTGGGTGACGGGATCCGCGAACGTGGCATCCCGGACGCATGCCCCCAGCGGGAAAGCATCGATGTATGTTTAATCTCCGCGAACGAAATGACCACACCAGACATACGTGTACAGTCTTGACCTCTCAAATCCTCTGCAAGCCAGCCAGCCAACCAACTAACAGACCGCTCCCCATTGCGACAGGCCGCCTCCCGATCCAGACCATACATGACCATCATCACCCAGATGCCGCGTTGAGACCGAGCATGGTTTGTCCCCACCTCCCTTCCCAAATCAATCCCTGAGTCGAATCGACAAGGATCCGCCGTTACGTGTCTGACGAGAGAGAGAACAATCCCACACCAACGGGTCCGTCAGACGGTGTGAGACGGCGAGACGCACCACCGTTTTTTTTTTCTTACTATCTGCACAACTCTCCAACTAACCCCAACCTCCCACCGCCACCATCACCACCGCTCAAACAACATCCATGCTATATCACACAGACAGGAAACGTCTTACCGGGATGTACTAAAAAAAAGTAAGCAAAAAAAGGAGAAGAAGAAAAATTTGAACCGGTGAAAGTAGGCGGAAAAAAAATCTAAAAAAAAATTCTTTCAAGTGTTGCAGCAGCAGAGGATAGAGGGAAGGGGGAGGGGTGAAGAAAGGTGGGAGGGGGGTGGGTGGCTGCGTGCGCTCACCGCGTATGTACGTTTCGCCCCTTGTGCAAATCCTGCAACAAAGACTACAACAACACAAAACGCATGCCCCCCCAAGTATAGAACTCTATCTTTCTGTCTCTCCTCCCCCCCTCTCCTCTCTGTCTCTTCCCCTCCCCCCCCCCTCTTCCCTGCAAACCAAACATGCCGTAACTAGATCCCGAAAGCCCCCCAAAAAATGAATGCAAATCAAACCATGCAGATAAATGATAAAAGAAGAAAAAAAATTAAAATTAAAAATCCCCATAACTTGGGAAATAATAAAGAAACTTGACAAATCCGTGACGACGACGACGACGACGGACATGATGTGACGTGACGACTAGCACCCACCCACACAGATGCAGGATACACACAGCCCTGTGTGGACCAAAATTGGGGGAACCAAAAAAGAAAAAGGGAAGCTAATATTAACATTACGGGATTTTCCCACACTAAGGGATTTTGGACACGGGGAGAAGGGGGGACAAGGCAGGGGAAGGGTGAAGGGGGAAAGGGTGAGGCAGCAAGGCAGGAGAAGGAAGAAGAGAGAGAGAGAGAGAGAGAGAGAGAGAAAAACCGAACGGAGATATGACCGGAAACAGAGAGAAAAAAACACGGAGGACGGAGGGACGGGTGATATATGGACGGTGCTATGGTACGGACGGGCCGTGTGTGGGGATGTGCAGGAAGGCTGAGAGAGACAAGGGAGAAGACGGGGACGGGGGGGGGACGGAGAAGAGTGAGAGGTGCAATGACTGAGAGGTACAAGTAGAGAGAGAGAGAGAGAGAGAGAGAGAGAAAGAAAGAAAGGGAAGAGAAAAGGGAACTGCTGCTGCTGTATTAGAGAAGATGAATGTGGGTTACTCCACTCTGCTTTGCTCTGGCTATGTTCTCTCTCTCTCTCTCTCCGTAAATTATGGCTGCTTCCCTTCCCTTCCCCCCCACCCCCAATTTACTAGCTTTATTGAAGTTGACGCAAGGTAGCCGTCAAACGGGACCACACACACACACACACAGCTATTTTTCCCCATTTCTGCTTGCGCCTTTCCAAGCCCCTTCGATCCTTTCTTACCCATTCTTAGCGAGAAGATGAAATCCCCCCCCGTCCCCCTCCCCTCCAAAAAAAAAGAGAGACAGACTGTGTGTGTGTATGTGCGCGCTTCGAGACACACATTTGATCGGCCCTTCTAAACGGTCATCCTGTGTCTCTACCCTGCGTCTTGGTGTTTTACCCTTGAATAAATTTTTTTTTTGAAACAATTTGTTGGAAGGGGTTTTAGAAAAAAAAAGAAGGATAAGAGAAGGATAAGTAAGGAAAGGTGGGAGAAGACAAACGCTTTACTCCTAACGGGGGCGTGATGAGACAGAGTGACAGACAGACTGACAGACAGACAGACAGACAGACAGACAGACAGACAGACAGACAGGGCACGCACACACGCAACAAAGGGCAAGGCCAAGCGGACAGGCAAGCGGCAAGTTAGTACATGGCAAGGCCCCAGCATAGCCATCCCCGATTAAGAAAAAGCCCGTGTAACTCCCCCCCCCTCCCCCCCTACCCCCCGTCAGATCAATGCCCGGGGAGGAGGAGGAGTGAAGTGGGTTGGAAGAGTGAGTGGGGCCCAAGGGTAATAGTATGTAGGAGCCTCTCTGTGGGCCCCCCGCCCTATTTGTCCTACGTAAACAACCTTTCTGGCACAAATGCATCGCTTATTCATTTTTTTTCCCTTGGAGCGCCGCAGCAGCACCTTCGGATGCCGCAGCGTGGC